TAATCAGCAATTGAAACATCTAGAATTGTCTCTTTCTTTTTAATTATGCTGTTCCTTGGTCTTTTAATTTATTATTATTATTATTTTATTAATTAATTTTTTTTTTATCTAGTCAAGCGCGCGCTATTTACATTTTTCGCGTTTTTAACATTCAAATGTAACGTAAGCCCTGACACGTAATTTGTAATGCACCTTAATATAAATTCAAATGTACAACTGTTAAATGCTCATTTGCAACTGAAGATGACATGAGAATGTCGAAACATGTCTTGTAAATTTAAACTCAAAGTTGTTGTTTCTTTTTTGAGAGTTATTGTCACTCTGCTGTCTTTACGTCCTTTTGGTGACAGCATTGTCTGGATCAATAAGGTCCTTATCAAGAGCAATATTTATGTAACTTTGAACTCTGAAAGGGACAGTTGATTTCTTTTAGTTTGATCATCCAACGTAAAATACCGGTATGCTGGGGAAATAAGCTATTCACGTGTATTTACCTTTCGACCAAGGATCGCTTCGTTCCGCTCGGCTCAATTTCTCTCCTTTCCTGCAGGAAAGCCATCTCTTTAACGCAGGAATAGTGAGTTGACTAGGGGTGTTCACTCATAAGGAAGCTCCATCAATGTCATCCTCAGAAAGAGTGATTTTAGGTGAATTTCCTACAGTCATGTCCGATGTGACATATTTTTCTTTGATATTCCTGCAAAACCATCACCACCAATGTTGTCACTTTCAAAGCCATCACATGTTTCTGGTAAATCGTCCGACGCTGTGTTTACGTACTAAGTCGGCTGCTTTCGTTCGACCGATTTTCGCTCTGCTGGAGGTTTCCTCGGTGTTTTTCTTGCACAAAGCAAAACTTTGTGGGATTAGACCCTGGTTTCAAGTTGACAAGCAAGGAACCCGGGATTTTCCTAAAACAGTCGGCTTCAAAGTGGTCGCCACAGCCTCGAGTGCTCTCTAACTGGCGTGTTTGTTCGCCGAATTTTTGCAAGCCATTTCGAAAGCAGTTCTTTGTTCTCCAGCGGTAAGCGATGCCAGGAATTTTTTATTTTAATTTCTGAAGAGTTTGTACAGCCCTAGGCAATACACCATTGAGGAATTTCAAACAAAAAGTGAAAAAAAACAGACGAGGGGAATTGATTATTTCTCTAAACACCAACAAATCACGCGAAGCAATCACCACCAAGCCTCAGGTTGATGCTACAAGAAATTGTTTTGACGTCATCGCGCATAAGTGCTTTTTGCTGTTTCTATTTTTTTTTCATTCTGGTCGTCAAGCTGTTTTTCTTTGTTCGATTCATCTAATGAACTTGGATCTATATTTGTCAGCCATTCTGACTCTTCGTTGTCAAAAACATGATTCAAATTGTCAGAAACATGATTCAAAATTGATGGAAATAGATCGTTGGATCGATGGATAGTTAACAACTATCCACTGAAGTGGAGGTGGTTAGTGGTGGATATTTACCGAGCCGCAAAGCGGCTCGGTAAATATCCACCGCTAACCACCGACACTGAGGTGAATAGTTGTTTTAGTATATACTAAAACAGTGAGATAATATACACCACCAAAAATTTATTTTAATTCATACATTCCAGCAACAATTCCAACANCATGCCCCCCAGTGAGACTGGACTTATGACGGGACCACCCTACTGAGGACATTTTGTTGTGTTACTATTATGGTCTATAAAAATACATGTGGTTTTCGCTTGAAGTTATTTTAGTAGTCTGAACAAGTTATTTTAGTAGTCGGAACAAAACCTTTTGGTAGTCTGAACAGAACATGCTTCATTGTAAGTGATAAAAATCCAAAAACAACATAAAAAACTTTAGTTTGATCCCTCAAAGTTTACGTAATGTATTCTTCTTTACTTTCGATACCTTGACAATCCTGGGACGAGACTTTTCGTTAACTGATTAACTTTATTATTTCCTTTTATGTAATGTTATTGCTGCCCTTTCGCGCGGATTTCAACCTGGCCTAAGCTGTTCACGAACTTGCTTTAAGTCCTTGTCCTTTTGCGAGTTGTTTTTGCAACGTTTTGATTTTTATGGCGGCCAAATTCTTAAAGCTATGGTTTTCACTATTTTTCTTATTTTGTTTTGCACCTGGGAGTTCCTTGGTTAAGTTAAAGAAGGAAACAAAAGAATTTATTCGGCTTGTTATTGAAAATAGCAACGGACAAATCATCTGCTTCAGAAGCGGGCCTGTTCGTGCAATTCCTCGTGGAACGCGTGTCAGGAATGCGGTTGGTAACTCCCCCAGTGCTTTTCTGGTACCAGATATCTTGTTGTGGGATTCACAGTTACATTTTCCAGAGCTAGTCCTTCTCTGTCCATCGTGCGATGAAAAAAATACTCAAGAGACCCTCAAACCCATTCGTTGGAAAGATGGTAACAAGGACTACGACCAACTACGTCTTTTGTATGGCCTAGGAAACGATGTGCTGCTCGTTGGATGAGTCTACCTGTGTAGAAATAAACACCAAATTCTTAGTCACGACCAAGGCATTTTATGTCAATTGAGAGCAGATTTTCAGCCACCGTTTCTGTTATTTCACAAGATTGGAATCACAAGAGAATTGTTCCAGATCTTCACCTCTCACATAAGTGCATAAGCGCGGGGATGACAATTTCTGATGTCCAAGTTCTTTGGCATCAAAGTCTCTTTGACGAGTATGGTATACGAAAGATGTGTTTCCTCACTGAGAATAACAAAAGCCCAGAAACATTTCCAGGTTTTTCACCGAAAGGCAGTAAGGTTGGAGAAAAAGTCTCAACTTGCTGTTATATTATGGGATACTTCGAAAAAGAACATCTCTACCACAGAAGGATGTGTCAGATGAGAGCTTCTTCATTAAGTGCTGATCATACATTTAAAGTGTCTGCAAATATCGGCTTTTGGTGTGAGGGAAAGTGGACACAGCTGTATGACTGTTTATTTATAGTTATGAACGAAGTCGGCATAGTTTTAGCCTGGAAACTTTGCAAGGGAACAGCGTTTGATAAAGTGGAAGATCTGTTGACCAGTTTAAAAGACAGACTTGCCACTAAAGGTTGTGTTGTAGAACATTTCTATGTTGAAAACTGTTGCCAGTGGAGGCACAAACTGAATACTGTTTTTGATGGAGTGTCAATAAAGCTTGATCCTTTCCATGCAATACAGAGAGTAGTGACAAAAATACCAAAGAAGGGTGGCAGTGGGCCACTACAGGAACTGCGCATGCAAATGCTGCATGACTTTAAATTGATTTTGAGGGACCAAACAGATCGTGGAATGAAAAGATCTAAGCCAACTCCATCAGCGAGTATTATTGAGAAAAACATTGATAACTTTCTGATACAGTGGAAATCTGTAGAATATGAAGGAACAAAAGTTATCCCCCAGAGTGCTTTAACCGAAATTCAGAAATTATTAGTTCACGTCCGAAAGGGTTGTTTATCAGATATTCCACCCTCTGGAGGTACGAGTCGAAATGAAGGGATTCATAGAATCTTAAATAAGACCATGAAGAAGTCATGGCTCGGTATTCAGTTTGCGTTGGCACTTCTTGGCATCTTCTTTTACATGTGGAATGAAAAGCAAATACGTTCAGTTGAAGATCAGAAAAAGATAAGAGTAACACCACCAATTCAATCTTATTTTGACCATCTGGAAAGCAGTAAAAAAGCAACCAATGATTATTGTAATTTCCAAGCTACTCCTGGCTCGCTAAATGGTGATGAAAGTGGGGACACTTATAGCAATATTGGACAAGCAGACTACGAGGTGACAATCTTGGATAAATTGAACGTTTTCTTAGATGTAACATGTGATAATTCAAATACGTCATCAGATGAAGATGAACCTAGTAATGCAGGTTGCTTTTCAGCTCTGGCACACCTGCCTCCTTTGAGTGAGAAACATCAAGAGTCAGTTATTAACTCGTCCAAATGTATGGCTAATCTTTGTCAGTATATCTAGTCCCTTAGTCAGTGTGCAAAACTTAGTCCAAATTTTATGTTCTTCACAAAAAGTAGCCTGACCCTCTTCCACTCTGGCTTAGTAAGCAGTAAAGAACCTTCTACTCTCGATAATGTTATATCAAACCACAACATGGTCCGTGTCAGTGTGCCACCGAATGGAAACTGTTTCTTCCTGTCTGTTGCACATTCAATTATGAACAGCATTATTCCAAATGTGCCAGTATCAAGTGATTTAGCCAGTCATCTTGACTTTCTTGGACTAATGACTTGTAATGACAAAAATGGAATGAGTTCCAGACTACGAGAGCTAACTGTACATGAGTGGATGTCGCATCCAGAGGAGTACCAACCATTTATTGGAACCGAACAAACAGTCAATCACGAGGCTCTGTTATTTCTTGCTGATGGACACTTTGCATCTGATCTAGGCAATTCTATGCCTCTTGCCATGGCAAATTTGCTGAAGCTTCCACTTGTTATGATATCTCAAATGGAAAGTCTACCAGTGATACCAATTACTCCATGGGAAACTATTTACTGTCTGCCAATTTTCATTGCTTTTGACCATTCAGGTGCAGGGCACTATGATGCTCTTGCCCACATCACAGGCTGCCAGATACCATCAGACTGCATGAAAAAACTGTCATCCTGTGACAACAAAGATACACCCAGCATTGAATGTTGTCATTGTGGGCAAGGCGCCAGAAAGAAACAGTCCAATATAACCTCATGTGATAGCTTTAAAAAGCGATGTAAGTGCTTTCAAAGTGTTCGTGGTTGTAGTGACAGGTGTCAATGCATAGGATGTGAAAACCCACATGGAAAAAAAATCCAAGAAAGAGGAAAGGAGCTCTCCCACGCAGGTGGGCTCAAGGAAACGACGATCCCATGAATTAACGACCGAGGGCATGTCTGGAAAGCAGTTTTTACTCAAGCGACCCCATTCCGAGGACAATGTCAGCAAATGGACATTCCTAGAAGAACTAGTGCTTATCCACGTAATCCAGTGAACCTAACTAAAGGTGGAAGTGACATTGACATTGGTGCCATTGCATCACAGTATTTACAGTAAGTTGATAAGAATAGTATTCATCCCAAAAGTCATGAGCAGATAACGAGAAAGGTAATCTCTTTTCTCAGTGATAATAAAGTTTTTAAGACTTTGTTAAGGGAGCAGGTGAGGCTTAATTGGTTCTAGATTGGCAGAGATCACTTAATATCACCTTAAGTCGGTTATAATATTTATTAGATTGACAGTTGCTTGAGTAAGGTTCAACAGATGTGGTTTTGTTGTTGTTTATTTAAAATGCTGCTAGAACAATTAGTGTGCAAAGAACTGCCAATCAGATAGCCCAAGGCTAGTGGATCTGGGCCTCCCACTAGCCCGACAAGCAAGTAATGGTTTTCAGGTTAGTTTTTACTGGAAGTTAAATATTTAGACATTGAAAAGGATTTCAGTAAAGGGAAAGCTGCAAAATTGCAATTTCTTTGCACCCTGCTAAAGCGCATTAATGAATTTTTTTTATATTGTAATCAAAATGTGCATTATTCCTGCCATCATCCTACTTCATGTGCAATCAATAGTCCTGTTTATTATCAAACTTTGCCTCCTGTAGTAGGAATAATGCGCAAAACAAGTACAAATACTACACTACTTCCCAGACTGTGCAAAAGACTAAACACATTGGAAAGTTATATTTTTGGGGAAAAAGAAGGTTGGATAGTAAATCTCCTATTAGACATTTGAGTTTTGTTACTTCTCTTCATGTGATACATTAGTTACCTGAGTACAGGGAACACTCCATCCTTCTATTTCTAATGTACCTGGAACAGTTCGCAAGTCTAGCATAACACAGAATGACACTTTTATTCAAACCAAATAACTGCATTTTGCAATGATAAATACCATTTCACTGTTTCATTTTAGCTAATTTACATTTTATTATAAGAAATATGTTTTTAGAAATAACAAATATATCTAAATATTGGTTTTGTTATGGGTTTTTGCAGAACCTGAAACAGCAACAGTAACAATAGTCTACTAAATTTGCTATAATGCATTATACCATGTTCATGTTTTATCTTATTATTAGCTATATTATAAAAAAGTTTGATTATTAATTTTATTATTAACTTTAAGAAATTGTGTTTGTGTGAATAAGTAAAATTTATATTCAGCCCCTTTTGGGGGATTTTAACAGTACCTGGAACAGTTTATTACTGTAGCATAACTCAGGATACTGCTTCTACAAAGTACTGGTAATTATTCTACTTTGTAGTCATGACTTTCATCTTGTTCCTGATTCATGTCAATATAAATGAAAATAAATAAATATGTAGAAATATGATCAGGTAATGTTAAATATAACAGAATTTAAGTTTCAGGGTTGCTTCTTTACTCTTGGTTCGCTTAACTGGTAAATAAACTTGAAAAACTTAACAATGTATGTGTGCAAAATAAGAGTACATATTCTGTTTCATTTTCTCCAGCACAATAGTATTTTAACAACTGGTGACGGTGGTACAGTAACTGTTTCTAAAGAGACAATGTTTGACCATGTTAGAAAGTCTGAGTTATAATGTCTGGCAGCAAATAGTCTATAAAGACAATATTGACATTGCTCTTTGACTTTTTTGGGAATTGCTACTTTTGACTGCAGTAATCTGCTAATGTGTACCAGTACTTCAAGAAATCTCTATACCTCGGCTTCCCACACAGAAGGCATTGGAATCTCCTGGGGAGGGGGTGGGCTCTTGGAGACCAAAAATAGACAGGGGAAGGGTGGTCTTGAAAAACACCTTCCATATGGGGAGGTATATTATCTATATTATATGGAATTTAAAAACATGGACAGTCTATAGTTCTACATTTTGTGATGTAAAATATCCTCTTAACTCTTGAAGCTTTGGATGGTTCTCTAGCATTGCCTCTTTCTGGGATGATGTTAGGAGGTCATCATCCTTAAGAAATTTCTCCTTGTATTGCTCCAAAGACATATTCAGGTTCCCTAGATGGTGTTCTGAATGGATAAGGGTGCTTGGAAGAGTCTTGTAGAAGACTGTTGCCTTCCCAAGTTTATTCACCTGACCAAGAGCTGCCATCTCTAGGTCCCTCATACATTCTTCAGTTTTCTTCAGTGTTGGGTGTGAGCTAGATGAAAAGCTGTTGTAAACTCTCTTTGAACTGCAGTAAGGGCCGGGCAACATCAAAATTCTCTGCTTTACATCCTCATCTGTTACTGACATTCGTACTGATGTGCTGCCTTGCTTGACCTGCAAACACTGTGAAAATATAATATTTTGAATCAATACCAAATTGATATCTTGGATCAATAGGTTTGGAAAGAGATGAGTCTAATGCTATCAGTAATTTTTAGTCCTGTAGTTCCTTCACAGGGTGGAAAAAACAAAAATTGCAGTATTGGACTATTATATTTTTTGCGCTAGATTTTATCCTATAATGGTGGCTCCCAAAACTTTGCCATCATTCATTCATTCATTCATTCAGTCAGTGAGTGAGTCAGTCAGTCGTCTGCCATTCATTCAGTCAGTCAGTCAGCCACTCACTCACGTACTCATTTTTAATTGATTAATTAATTCATACATGCATTCAATCATTCACTTATTCATTCATTCATTCATTCAGTCATTCACTCATTCATTCATTCATGCATGAATGAATTCAGTTATTCAATTATTTAGTTATTTATTTCTTTATTTACTAATTTTTTTCCACTTGCAAAATAAGATTTGGGTCACTGGAATTGGGAATCACAGGAACAAACAGAACAGAAACAAAAAAAAAATTAATTTCAGAAATGGAAAAAAAGGAGACTAAAAATGGCAGAAATGGTATTTGGGTGGGGAAAAGGAATTGTAAGCCATCACCAGACCCATCCCACCCCCCTCCCCCCCCAAACACACACACATTGTGATCTGCAACCTAAATATAGGATTCATCATATCCAATTTGGTAAACTTACCGCTTCCGCAACCCCACTGAAGGAAAGAAGTGTATCATGTAACGTGAGTGCGTAACCCATGGTTGTTTCACTTATCACTCCAGGCGTAGGAGCTGTCAGTTGCTGCAGGGCAATGTCCAAACGGTGCCACAAGATATGCATGTTGAGCGCTAACCTGATAGCGTTCTTGTTGGACTTTGCGTTGCATTCAGGACTGAAAATTCCAGCCGATTGCGAGGCTTCTTGGTTTTTCCCCTTGCAGTACTTATAGAATAGCTCTCTTGCTCCAGCACTTAAAGTGTATTCAATAGCGTTCTCTTGGTGGTGTTCGACATATATTTGTTCGTACACTGTTCCGAGCCTCTTCACCGCACTTTCTTCCACAAGCTGTGTTGAAAACATTTCTATTTCTTCGATCTCCCTCCGCACGCGTTCTTGGCACAGGACGAGGATCCTGTCAGCGAGGCCATTTTTACAGGAAACGACCTTGGGCCAGATTTTGGTCAGAAATCGCCGTGGCGTCGTGAAGATTGACATGTTCATTCTAGCACGTTGTACTCCTACACGTTTTCCATTTCCCTTAACTGTGTACCAATAGTCACCGTCGTAGAGTTTGCAGATACGCTCCATAGTAAGTGAGGTTTGCGAGACAGACTTAGATGTACTGATCACTTTTTGCATGAAAGTGTAGCCTTCGTCGATGCAAAGAAGGGGTACATGGGCTCTGTTGGCCCCTGTCTGAAAGTTGACAAAATGGTTGAAAAGGCCATTCGAAGAAGTCTCGTCAACCAAAATGCTTCGCTGGACGCGTGGCTCCAAGTGTGAAATAAGTGGATTGACACAGGCGATGTTACAGGCTGGAGTTTTGCCCGCTCCAGACGGGGCAAGACCAACAAAAAACAAATTACCATTTTCTTTCCAAGGATCGAAAAGTTTTACAGTGGTGTCCCCTATTAGTGTTCAGGTACACGGTAACATTCCTGTGAGGAGCAAATCACGCGTTGTGCCATGGCTCTTGGCGAATATATCTAGCCAGTCTTGGATATTTCGAGGGGCTATCTCATCCCAGGGAATCTTGATGTCTGCCAATTTTGACTCTAAATCAGCGACAGATTGTATCTCAGCGAAAGAACTCATATTAAAAATCAAAACGTTGCAAAACTAACTCGCAAAAGGACAAGGACTTCGAGCGCGGTCGTGAACAGCTTAGACCAGGTTGAAATCCGCGCGAAAAGGCAGCAATAACATTAAATTAAAGGAAATAATAAAGTTAATCAGTTAACGAAAAGTCTCGTCCCAGGATTGTCAAGGTATCGAAAGTAAAGAAGAATACATTACGTAAACTTTGAGAAATGAAACTAAAGTTTTTTATCTTGTTTTTGGATTTTTTATCACTTACAATGAAGCAACGATAAACTAATTATGTAAATCTTATTATCCATCGATCCAACGATGTCTTTCCATCACACACAGGCTTACTTAGTGTTGTCACGCAATGCTTCTCAGCGATCTATTGATCCATCGATCCAGCGATCTACCGCTCTATCGATCTAACAATCTATTGATCCATCGATCCAGCGATCTACCGCGCTATCCATCTAACGATCCATCGATCCAGTGATCTACCACTCTAACGATCCATCGATCTACCGCTCTATCGATCTAACGATCTATTGATCCATCGATCCAGCGATCTACCGCTCTATCGATCTAACGATCTATTGATCCATCGATCTAACGATCTACCGCTCTATCGATCTAACGATCTATTGATCCATCGATCCAGCGATCTACTGCGCTATCGATCTAACGATCTATTGATCCATCGATCCAGCAATCCACCGCTCTATCGATCTAACGATCCATTGGTCCATCGATCTAACAATCTACCGCTCTATCAATCTAACGATCTATTGATCCATCGATCCAGCGATCTACCGCTCTATCGATCTACATGTATTGATCCAGCGATCCACCGCTCTATCGGTCTAACCATCCATTGATCCAGCGATCTACCGCTCTATTGATCTAACAATCTATTGATCCATCGATCTTTGGTTCTATCCATCCAGCGATCTATAGTTCTAGCGATCTAACGATGTGGGTGCCTTAATTTTGGTGACGTCAGTTGTGAGGTTTTTACACCGAGGTAAAGCCCATTATGGATAATAAATATATCTTATTAACCAAGCACGAGGGCCATACTGGGAGAATATTTGCCCGAGGTCTTGACAGTACGGACCGAGCACAGCAAGGTCCGTACAAAAAGACAGAGGGCCGATGTTCTTCCAGTACGGTCCCAAGCAAGCTTGGTTAATAAGAGATTTATTATACGACTGAAGTTCAAAGGGACACAAGTGTGGTATCATTCGGGACCATTCGAGACAGTGCCCGGTCCAATACTTGGAGAATATTGGACCAGCAATAGAGCATTTTGATTGGTTGATTTTAGTTATTGGCCCTCTGACTGCCCGAGGCGTGTAATAAAGATTTAAATTGCACAAATTACAGATTTCTAATTATTTTACTAATCATTTGAATATTTTTATTTTGCAAAGGACAGAGTTCTACTTTGCAAATAATTAACAGATTTCTATGTTGCAAATTACACATTTTCATTTCATCTTGTTTGGTTCCTGTGATTTCACAAATTACAGTAGGCCACACCAAGATCCCATCTGTGCAGTCTCTGGTTTTTATTTTATAGACACCCTTAATTACAGGTCTTCAAATGGTACATGATAACTTTGAATGACTATTTTAATTACACTTGATTATCTCATAAGCCTGAGTCAATGTAAAGTTAAGTACACATACCTGCATTTGTTTGGCCTGCCAAGCATCTTTTTTACTTACTTCCAGAGCTTCCTATCAAAGAGTCCACATCATCTTAATTTAATTTAGCACCCTGCTGGTATTTCCATACAGATAAAGATTAACTGTTAATGAAAGCCTTTCTGTGTCAGATATTATTCATTATTTATGGTATAAACTGTGAGAGGAAAAGTGACTAGGCCTTCAAATTGGCTCACTGTAACTTGCGAAACAAAACAAAACCAAACTCCACAGGCCGGCCTGGATGAATCAGTCAGTTCACCACAAATGTGGATTACATACAAAGCCTACCAAATCATAATAAAAACAACTAGGGAAAGTGAGACATTAAAAATACTGGATGGTGTTCATTGCAAAATCTCCACTACATTTATTACGAATCAACTTAATGGCCTGCTCCCAGTTGGCTTGTTAGCTCAATTGGTAGAGTGCTGCACTAGTATCGCAGAGGTCAGTGGTTCGAATCCCGTACAGGCCTGATTTTTTTCAGGTCTGATTTTCGCTATTGCATAAATAGCGCTATCTACTGGAGGATCGTGCATCAGACGTATCTCCACTACATTCATAACAATATCAATACATTGTCTATGCAAAAGAAGAGTTGTGCCATAAAGAGCAAATGTAATTTTAAAAATTAGCTGGTCCTGTAGCTGTACTGTATATAAGGCACAGACAACGGTCATATGCCAAGGGTTGCCTGGTGGGGGGAGATGTTGATGCTTCAAATTAATCAGCGCATAATGCAGTGTTTTTTCCTTACATTTTGACTTATTGTAAATGGAAAACCACAGCATACCTCTAGGTCCCTCTGGAACTGACTGAGGACAAACTGAAGAGAAAAACAAATTAAAACAATTTGATCAGCTATTTAATGAACCTAGGTTGCATCTTTTTGTTTTGACTTAAAATATTCTACAGAAGAAATAGAGGGGTGTAATATCAAGTGCAACTAGAGGTAAAGAGCAGATGCTTGATTACTGAGGAAGTCATTTTTATTGACATCAAGCACATGTTATTCCTGCTCTAGGACAGTTTTGATGAGAATGTAAGGACCAACACAAGATGTAAAATGAGTGGAATATTTTGAATGATAAATAATAACAATAATAATGTTTATTCAAACTTTTTGCAGAGAATGCTGAATTACAGGTTGATAAGAACAGCATATACATAATAGTAATAATACTAAAATGATAATGTTTATCATAGAAAAACGAGTATAAATTAAGTTGGCAGGTACTTGACTGTCTCAAAGTTCTTAAAGTGATTGGTGGACTTTTTGGAGTGATACTGAGTACGATTTGTTCTTAAATTATAGTGGTCTGCAGATTTATGAAGTCGGCATACATTGCAGCATAAAGGGGTTTGTCATTATGAATATGACTTATAAAGGATTCACAGGCAGCACTACGGCGTGCATAAGGGCTTCAAATTACCGGCTAGCATCAGGGTATCTGAGTATGAATGACCTGGCCAAATGATGGCAAGAGCATGCCTCTGCACTGACTCTAGGGTCTTAGATAAGTAGGACGGTATATTGACAAATGCAGTAGAGGTGTACACAAGTATGGAACATATTAGGCAGCAATAGATGTAGAGGATATCTTCCGCTGGGACAGAACTTCTCCTGAGCTGCCTTAAAGCAAACAACCACCTGTTAGCCTTCTTCAGAAGATAGTCAACATGCGTCCCCCAGGAAAGGTCATTGGACAAGTTGACGCCTAGCAGCTTGAATGACAAGACCTCTTCTATAACAGTGCCCCCTGATTCAACCGGGGGCGCCTTATAACTATTTTACTGAAGGAAGCTAACAGTCATGCTTTTACATTTAGTAGGATTAAGGCACATGTTATTGGGGTTAGCAAAATTTTGGATGTCATTCACAAGGAAGTTCAGTACAGAAGGAAAATTTCTTGGCAGAATTTCCATGATGGTTGTCATCAACAAACTTGATACACAAGCCCCAGGAAGACATCAGGTTATTACCCATGCAAGCAAACAAAATAGGCCCTAAATGGGTACCCTGTGGTATCTCACTGCACAAGCTTGGAAACTAGAACTGACCGTACCTATGCACGTGACCTGAGATCTACCTTGTAAGAAGCACACAAGCCAATGTAGCAAACTGGCGTCTAGATTGAACTTAGATAGTTTTTCTATATAAGGATTTTACGATCTATTAAGTCAAAACCAGAAGAGAAGGGGAGAACAGAACAAGTGATTGCAGGTGTGATTAACCTGCCCAAAGACTGACAGAAGCACTGATAACTTCACTGAAAAGCTCCTAAGAAAATCTGTTGTACAAAAAATACCTTTAGGTCAGCAAAAAGAGCGAAAGTGGTTTGTTCCTTGCACCAATTAGATCGCTGCATTGAGCTAAAAGAAACATTTGCGGTTTGTATCATGTACCAATCAGATTGCCACAGTGGGGTAAAACAAATATTTGCAGTAGGTAGTTCACACCAATTAAAGATCATGGCAGTGGGAAAAACAGGTATTTGCATTATGTAGCTCTGCCAACACATGTAGATCTTCACTATCTGTGTTTAAAACTAGAATGTGAATGGAGAGGTAAAAAGGAGAAGAGTTCATAGGTGAAAGCATGAAGCTTATTTGATTGCTACCAGTAATCTGACTTGTTTTTTCCTTGTTACTCTTTTGGCATAAATTGAAAGGATCAGCTGGTTATAGTTACTTTCCACATTGACTGCCATGTTAAATGTCCATTTCTTTGCTTTTAGAGTTCTCTGTGATTCACATCTTGTGTTTGAATGGTACTTTCCCAGTACAGTTACATGTTAAATGGTCACTATTGATCGGGCTTTTTACCATTAATGACATTTTCTAGAAAACAAACTAAATATTACAATAACATCCAACCACAATGAAACAACTCCTCATGAAAATTAACCATATTTCATAGGCTTTGACTCAGGCATAATAACTTGGGCTTCTTATTTGGTTGTTGCTTATCTGGACTTTTCCTGCGTGTGGAATATGTGATAAAATGCAGGTTGTTTACGAGGAATTGACACATGATGGAGGGGAACTTGATTGGTTGAAAACATCAAAGCATTTGAGAATTGAGTGGAAAATTCCCTAAAAGTTAGCACCTTTGTTCTCTTTTGTTCAATGTTTCTTTACTTATTTTAATATATGTTTGGTTACAGTGTAAGGTCTATTGGAGGTGTAAGAGTTTTAGTTTGCATTCCCTAATAAAATCACACAAATGATATTGTTAGGAAACTAAATGTAAACAATTTCTTTTAAATTTTTCTCTGACAGACGAAAGGCAATAAGCACAGTCTCCTATGCTGCCATTGTTTTGTCTCATCATGTAATGTTTAACCGCATCTCATCATGTAAAGTTTAACCACCTCTGGTTAGCTCAATTGGTACCACCTCCCGGTTAGCTCAATTGGTTGGAGCGCTGGACTGTCGAGGTCGATGGTTCAAGCCCCGGCCGGACCAACACTCAAGGTCTTAAAATAACCGAGGAGAATAAAAAAACAAAAAAAAAAAAGTATTTTTAAAGGATTACACAATTACTGGTGAACCAGTAGTTTCTATTGTGGTCCTTGCAAACAAATGAAACAAATGGTCTAAATTGAACATAACATCATTAAGAACATCATTAAGAACTCCAACCGGCCAGAGGCAAACCAGTTGGCTATTTACAAGCGTGGCCAAGGATCTGAACTCAGGGCTACCGTGAAACAAAACCAGTGGTCAGGGTGGGACTCGAACCCGGGAGCGGCAGATTATGAGTCCGACACTCTAACCACTCAGCCACACTGCCTCCTTGAGAATGCGCTACCTTTCTATAATATCAAGAAATGGATAGACATTCTAGTCTTCTCAGATGAGGACGAATAAACCGTAGGTCCAGTCTCCTGCATCTATTAATATTATTAGTTAATGGATGCAGAGATTACTGTGATGTGGTCTGGCCTGTTTACTGGGGGGGGGGGGAAGGGGGCATCTTCTAATAAGTTTCCTTCCACTGTTTGTAAACTGCTGATGCAGTCCAGCCAAAGTCCCCCGAAAAGTGTTGTGATGCGCATTTGATCATATCCACATGTTAATTTGCACAATATAAATATGAAATTATTATTAAATTTATAATTATTAATGTCCTCTCTCTCCAACAGGGAAGAGAGGGCATTTACAAGACCAAAAAATTGCTGCGAAGAAGACGAAGATAAGAGGCTTTGAATCATACATTAAATGGGAAGATTTAGATTTATCTCTTTCTAATAAATCTTTTGCACTGACTTTCAGCTGTTAGTGGTTTAATGTTTTTTTTTTAATTTTTCTTGAACCACTCCGCAATTACATTTTTTTTCTAGGGTATCTCAGGATTTCAATTGTGAGCCTAATTTTATGAAGACGTTTTGCAACTTATTCCACATTGTTATTGTAAAGTAAAGTTCATATTCAACAAGAAACAATTGCAACAGAAGATGACATATAGGATGTTGAAAAGTTTTTTTAAACAAAAATGTCTTTTCGTGCCTAAAAGTTTAACTGTAAATATTCTTTTCTGGAATAAAATATCACATGAAATCAGCCAAGATAGATAGAAACTTTATTAACGTGTCAAAGAACCTTCTAGTTTGGGAGATATCCCATACTAATGTGGGGACACAAATAAAATGGATAAAAATTATTTACAAAGAATATTACCTACTTAAGAATAAAATTAAGTCATATCATGTATGAAAAAATAGGAAATGAGTTAAGAAGTAAATAGAGCACAGCCCCTGCAGCCATCATCTAACAGGGAGCTGAGGTCATGCTTACGTATGCGGCTTTTGAAACTAGCTAATGTTGTGACTGATCTGTCATAAGTTGTCAGTATAGTCCATAATGTAGGTCCTAAATAGCATAGTGAATGTTTGCCGTAAGTTATTGTGTTGTATCTAGGAATAGAAAAGTCAGCCTGTCTTAAATTATAGGAAGCATTTTGTTTCTGAAATAATTATTACAAATATTCAAGGGGCTAAGGTTGTGTTTAACTTTGTACATTTAAATGCATATATCCTGTAAGCGTCTATTTACTAGGGAAGGCAAATGAGCTTTCTGCAGCAAAAGTTCAAAGGTGGAGTGTTTATCTTTGAATACAGCCCTTAGGCCTCTTTCTTGAACTCTCCAATCTGCAACTATCACTAGATTTACAAAAATGCCATGTGAGATGGCAGTAGGTTCTATATGGTAAAATGGCTGCCTTAAAAAGTTGTAATTTTGCATTTGTTGGAATCAAGTCGCAGAGTCTCGTAAGCACACCAATCCTTTGACTGGCTTTGTTACAGATAGTATTTATATGGTTATTGAAGTTCAGATTTGAGTCAATTGTGACTCCGAGAAATTGGAGAGTAGCGGTCGTGTTGATTTTCTCTTTGTTTACTAAGATAGCGCATTCTTCGATGTTATTTTCAGAGTTATCGTTGCTACCAATAATTAAGGTTTGGTATTTTTTAAGGTTACCAACTAATAGATTACATTCATACCAGTTGGTTGCTTTTTCCGTACTGTCTCTAAGTTTGGATGTAGTAGTGGGTAGGTCATGACCTGTATGGTAAAACTGATGGTCGTCCGCGTACATTGATATATCTCTAACATGATAAGATAGATTGTTTTGGAATATATTCCACAATAGAGGACCCAATGCGGATCCTTGAGGACAGCTTCGACTGACTAATCTGTTGGAGCTGATATTGCTTCCTAACTTTACACGATATTTTCTCTTATTCGATAAATAGCTTTTCAGAAGTTCAAAAACAAACCTGTTCATCTCTTTTTTTCCATTCATCCCAATCTCCACTTTGTACACTTACTTCTTTACCATCTGAATCCTCTTTATTCTTTAGAGCAGTTTTACATGACTAAACGAAATCATAAATTCATAGTAAGGTTCAGGGAGGTTTGATGATTTAAGTGTTCCCCCTCGGAGAGATGTTTCATTTTGGTGCCGTGTCAGTCTTTAGACCGGTCCATTCTCCTAGAACGATGGAGATCTGCATCGTAAAAAAGGTTACATTCACATTGTTTTCCCAGAGATACGATCCTCCTTAACCCTGGGAGAGAAGACAATGTTTAATACTACTCGATAGTTCATAATCAGCCTTTTTAGTCTGACCCCAAATGCAACCTTGTAATATAGGTTACAATATTATCCAAGAGATTTAGTAGTAACTGCATTATAATTTGACTACCTCGTTGCTTTGCTGTCTGCTCTTTTTCTTCTTCTTACATTTTTTCTTTGCTTTTCCAGCACTTTTGCTGTCATCGCATTTGCTTCGCGCCTCATTAACGACAACCTCGAGTTTTTCTTCGCTCTCATCATCGCTGACCTCTAAGAGAGCAAAACGACTTTTCGTTGGTAGCTTAGTCAAGGAATTCATCGGTCATTCGTGGTACGTCATACATTTATTAGCAGAAAAAGAGAGTTGCAGCTATGCACTCTGTTCTTCATCTGACCTCTACGCAAACTCTTACTTTCTTACATGAAGTAATACGTAAGTCTTGACCAGAAATGAGAAGGACTAAAACCGAAGAGCGAGTATGGCTGCCATGTTTGTTCCGCGATCTGTAACTAGAAAGGTAGACAACAACCTCTCACATAGGTCAAATGCCATCTCTACTGAAAAATCACAGTTAACAAAGATAGAGATAATAGATGAACGAAAATTGGCTACGAACGAAAGACAGAGACCTGTGGAAAGTGATGATCCAGGAGCCTCCACCAACCTGTTTGCGTCCTGCGTGAAAGAAACTTGCGTCAAAGATATAAGCAGAAATGATATGGACAAAGGAGAAGACGAAGAAGTAGAGAAAGTGGTCTCATATAGTAAAAACCAGAGGTGGCCAGCACCTGGAGAACCGGTATGCGTAATTTGTGGGCGATATGGAGCCTACATTGTGGATCAAACAGACAGAGACGTCTGCAGTTTGGAATGCAAAGCAAGACAGGCAAAGGAATATGAAGAGTTGCTAGACAGTTCGGCTGAAAACAGAGGAGTATCACGAAAAAACGCTTCCTCGAACAGAACTATCGCGAAGATTTCAGTGGCCGAAAACAAGTTCCAATTTCAATACAATGAACATCCGGTTATAGCAAAGTTATTCGCGAGCAAGGTTGATGATATTCGAGAGGCTCTAAACATAAGGGTGAAGGGGAATAATGTAAGCAGACCTATTCTAGAATTCAAGCATTGCCGACTAAGTAAAACTTTGGAAAGCAATTTGATTCGCTGCGGATACGCTACTCCGACTCCTGTTCAAATGCAAGTTATCCCGGTGAGCCTTTGTTCCCGAGACGCATTAGTCGGTGCACACACTGGTTCCGGAAAGACAGCGGCATTTTTAGTGCCAATTATTCAGAGGATTTACGCGGAAGTTGGTAAGTGGTTGAATAAAAATACAAATAATTTTTTGGAGCATCTTTTTTTACTCTATGATATATTCCCCTGTAATTATCGGTAAATCCTCTCAGCTTGTACTGTATTCAATGAACGATAACTTCAGAAAGCCTTCAGTCCGCAGTTGTCAATGGATGTTTGTAGTTTGTACTGAGATAGTATAACAAAATGCCCTGTGCTTAGATTTCGTTTTGTCGGGGAGGAATATAACCACGAATATATGAAGTTACTGTTAGTTTACTATATAGTCTTATTAATTTGCAACGAACAGTTTAATTACACTCCTGAATGACCTATACTCAAAAATTACCAGAAGGTGGGCAGCAGATGATTGATAATGCATCTTTCAACAAATCTCTAAAATCAAAAAATGTATGGATGCAGAAACCAATTAGTTAACCCTTTAATTACCATGAGTGACCAAGACATAATTTCTCCTTATAATATCATTACAACATCAAATACACTAGTGATGAAAATAAAGAAATAAATCAATTTGGAAATTATCAGTAAATCCACTACCAAATTCTCAGAACTAACATCATAAGAGTTATATGGCAGACAGTAAGGAGAATTATGAATGAAATCTTGGGAATTGAAGGGAATGAAAGGGTTAAGTGCAAGGAAAACCAGTTAAAAAACAGCATTGCCTTCATAATGTTCCAAGTTCTATGGGAAAGTTCATTATCTGATGAGGGAATTCCACCCTAAATTGCATGCAAAATGGATAATTTATTGCACTCATCCCTTTGCGATTTGTGCTATATCGGTAAATTCTAGACAATTAACAATGAAAATCTCTTTAAAACATTTAGAAACCAAAAAACATTTTTAAAACGTTTAAAAACCAAAAATTTTCAAGAATTGTTTACCAGAAACTATTATTGGATGAGGACAAACAACCAGCAATTATATCAAGAGAAAGTGTGACCGGGCACAGGATTTCGTACACTAACGCTTTACCGTTTAACGAAATAATCCGTTTACCATCCGTTTATCATCCGTTTACTATCCGTTTATTATCCGTCTAAAACGGATCATCAAAGCGTTTAAATGCTATCTTCATCCGTTTAACGTTTTCGACAAAACGTTTAAATGGTTAACCTATCCGTTTTAAAAAAAAATCCATCCTTTTAACGGTTACTTGCATCCGTTCAACGTTTTTGAAGAGCAACGGTATAAAACAGTCCCAAGAAGCATCCATTGAAAATCAATCACGCTTCGATCGAGCTGCTATGCTGGTCTTCACCACGACTTACTGTTTGCAAATCTCTGGTATGAGAAGGTCTTCGATTAGCAGAATACTCAATCAGATATTGAGACACGAGAGCTCCCATTACCTTACGAAAACAGAATGATATTTGTTAAGTAACACGAGAAGAGCGAGATTTGTTTTCATGCTTATGCAAATTTATTTCGATAGACGTGTACGGCAAAACTATTTACCGAATCGGTGGCTATTGGGTTTCTCATCTTTTATTTCCATCGATTGAAAGGAAACGAACATGGCTTTATAAAAGCTATAATTACAAATTACTTTACGAAATCGAACGCTAGATGAAACATGAGCGAAAGAAAGTTGTATATGCAAAATATTTTCGATAGTTAACCGACGGTGAAATCTACAAAATCGGCGGCTATTTTTACCTACATATAATCCATTTCTTAACGTTTTTCACTTGATAGTGCGATTTCATATCGGTCAATACGTAGAAGAAACAATGTAGGAACATGAAAAAAAAAGACTTTGCTTCTCAATTCTAATTTTTTTTCTGTCGAGAATGTTCAGTCCGCATGGTATGATTGACAGATTGCTTCCTCTGCTTATATTTTATGCAAATTTTCAAACGCATTGCGAGCTCTCCAGAGCGAGATTCGCTCTCGGCTCGCTTTGCTCGCCAATGGATAGCTTAATCACAGGCTAGTAATTTAATTTTACTTTGTTTTCTATTGGTGTCAGTCGAATATAATATTAGCATGAAACGTCAGTGAACAATATTATTCGAGAACAATATTATTCGTATAATTGTTCGCAATGATTTCTGTTAGTCATGTGCATGGCTTATCCCGCTGTTCTTTAGCCCTCCTGATCTGTTCAAGGTTTTTGTCCATCCGTTTAACTGAACGTTTTAAGCTATCGATTAATAGATTCTGTTCAACCGTTTAAGGTTTTAAGCCATCAGTTTATTTTTTTCTTGGCCGTTTAACGGTTTAGGGAATCCGTTTTTGGACTTTGCTCTACCGTTTAACGCTTTGGACTATCCGTTTAAATGGGTATGCAGACCGTTTAAACACCGTTTACTACCGGTTTATTATCCGTTTACAATCCGTTTATTTTCAACCGTTTAACGAAAAAGCGTTAGTGTACGAAATCCTGTGCCCGGTCACAAGTGGTACAAAGATATCATCATATACATCAATGATAATTTTGACTGCAGGAAAGTCTATCATTTGTCTGGTGTGTGCACAAAAGCTCTAATGTAATTGATTTTTATTTCAGATTTTTACATAAGAAGTTAGCAACTAATAGCTATCAAGGAAAAATAGGAATTAGAGAGAGTTGAAAAATAATGTAGCTTTAGCCATACAGTGTCTCCTGATGTTGCAATAAATGGTTGTTGACCATCATTGTAACAGCCCATCTGCGAATCCCATGGACAGGGTGATGGGGGGGGGGGTAGAATTTACTGTAAAAAGAGCTAATGTGCTGCATGTAGGCTCTGTGCCTGTGGGTTGCCAATGTGTTGATGGGGGTTGATTGCAGGAGATGGCAGCTGATGCCTTTGTAAATTTCACAAACTGAAAGTGTGGTTGTCACAAAGAGATAGTGATTCTTACTTTTTGTCTTGTTCTGAATACAAGATGTATAAACTGCCTTAACCCCTGTTTTCCATTATTTGTAGTTTTACAATCTAAGATGATTTGAGTGCTTGTACCTTCATGTGTTTCAGAAAAGAAAAAATTCAAAAAGCATTCAGTTGATGTTACTCTAGGTTGAATCCATCATTTTCAGTAAGTGTGAATGTTGAGCATAGTATTACTATGAAATCAAAGTTTCCTCTCAATTATAAGGCCACTCAGTTGATTATCTAAGTAGTTTTGTTTTCTAGAGTTTCCTCTCAATTATAAGGCCACTCAGTTGATTATCTAAGTAGTTTTGTTTTCTAGAGTTTGGCACACCTATGATCAGTGCATTGACAGGAGCTTTTTCTGAAATTTTTAACTCCAAATTTTAAATCATTTTTAACCACAATAAGCTTTTTTTATAGAAGAGAAAAATCGAGTTTCCAGATGGGAAAGGATCTCCATCTGGAAACTCGACTTTTCTCTTCTATTAAAAACTGTTTATTTCATCTTTACATGCTCAAAAAGCTTTTTATTAACTTTATCTAGCATTTATTGATGGTATCAAATCTTAAAGGAGCACTCTTATGAAACTTCCCTATAATTTGAAAACCCGAAAAATTCAGTTATTTCATTATAATATGAATTTTTAGAGATTAATAAAGCCTTTTCAATAATAATTTTAGTTGAAAGTCAATTCTAGGGTGAGAAATTACGATTTGAAAACTGTCCCGCCATTAATTTTAGACTCATGGCCAACTTATCTTCAGTCAGGGGTCACTCCCATTGTGTCGTAGATAACTCGAAACACTGTTGGCGTCATTTCATATTTATAGGGAAACCTCGTGAAATTTAGTGAAATAGTCTTGTGTTATAAAAGCAATATATACGATCAAAATACTGTTTTGAATATGGAAGACCACTCTTGCATGTCAAATGAGTCATCTAAGTCATGCTCAAAACTCGCCCTAGTCTTCTTGAGTCTGGCAATTGATTACGTAAACTAATGGTGGGTCAAAGGAAATCGCGAATTTGACGATCTTCCCATGTGACAATTCGGGAAAAAATTCAGAGACGATTAACGAGTGAACATTTGATAATAATAATAATAATAATAATAATAATAATAAACTTTATTTACCCAGCAAAAAATGTATCAGCAATTCCATAAGGAACCGCTGGTATTAATACATGTGCAGCAAATATAAAACTATTAAAACTATTAAAATGGAAAATTATATATATAACTGCAGACAGAACTGTTTCGGCCTTCTGGGCCTCATCAGTGCAGTGCTGATGCTAGGATGGGGGTGAACCGAGAGGGTCGCCCCAAAATATATATATATATATATAAAGTGTGACTTGATTTTCGTAGAACCTGTTGAGTGGGCGACCACGAAACAGGCTTGTAGGGATGAACTTGTAGTTTACTTGTCTTTTTCCTCCCACAATATATATATATATATATACGTAGAAAGTTTAAAAAATTGCGAGAATGGACAACTTCTGATGTAAAAAATATTTTTTATTTTTTACGTCAGAAGTTGTCCATCCTTGCAATTTTTTAAACTTTCTACGTTTGTGTTGGCTGTGAGGTTTGGACTGCGAATCTTTATTGATCCTCCTGGCGCGGTGCACCTTTGTTGGCCTGAGAGTTCCATTAACGACTTGCGATATATATATATATATATATATA